TTACCTGAAGGCGCAGTTCGTAATTTTATTTTAGAAGCAAAAATGCTTGATGTACTACACAAGTTACAACCCCCGCAATTGAAGACCTGTAAGGCGAATTTTCTAATTAAATACGTAGTTTCCAAATAGGAAAGAATTTTATTCTTCAGGGGAATTAAAGGATTGCTCGTAGATCCTTCAAACAATGTCGACAACGGGCACAAAAACATTTGATGCAAGGAATGTGTGTTAATTTTAAAAGTATCCACCCTTAAAAATAACTCTTGACCCGATTGCTTTGAGGGGAAACATGTCGATTTAGATATGGAGAGGGAAAAATGGTACCTACCTAAAGAAATCTAGGTTTCTGCCATCGCCCCCCAGCGACCCCACTTGGAAATTTTAATATTAATACTTTGTATACATATCTCTATAGGCCCATTTGGCCCATGCCTTCAACTGCCTCTTGTTCTAGCCATCTGTCTGTGGATCTTTATTTTAATCGTTATTTTTGCATATTTGTACAAATCCCTTAACTCAGCATGAGTTCTTCTTCTCCACCCATCAACCTCCTCTTCTTTAACATCTTCTTCTGCCTTGTTTAATCCCCGCGACTCACAATCACATAGAACAGGCTGTATTGGAGTCGAGTACAGCCTTACTTTTGCAGCTCGTTGACAAACGAGTTCACTTTCTCAAAGCAGTACTGTTTCTGGTTTCCACTATTACTAGATTTTCCCCATCTCTAAATTCCCATCCTGTCGTTTCTAAATAATAGTTTGTTTTATTTTCGTTTATTCTTAGACCGTAATGTAATTCTTAGACCTGATGTTTATGTCGGTAGAACTCTTAGGATCTGTTCTAACACTAATTTAAACAGCACGGGGGATAATTGAGCACCATGCCGTAATCCTTGGTTGACCTTAAAAAGTTATGACATTTTTCCATCTAGTACAGCTCTACATCCTATTTTTCCCAAAGTTATTCTCACAAGTCTAATGATTTTTCTGGGCGCATTTTGTTTATTCATAGCTTCAAACAATTTTTCCCGGTTTATAGTATCCTAGGCTTGTTTAAAATCAATAGAAAGCATGTTCACCAGCAGGTTAAATTCTTCTGTATTATTAATTGTGTGCTTTAGGCCACTAACCGACCTAATACGGCCTGAAACCACATTGGTAATCTCCAGGGTAAGGGTAATCTCCTATAACCGGTTCATCAGCAAACTCCATTAGCCTTAACACCAAACCAACAAACATTTTCTCTTTTATTAAGCAGTGACCTATTTGATTAACTGTTTCGCCATTTGGAGATATCCAGGTGCCCTTATGAATGTCTTTGTGTTGTGCTTATAATTTTCATTTCATTTTCCACACAGAACATAATTTCCATTTTCATTACTCCTCTGGTGTTTTCTATTGACTCCGGTGATGTGTCGGTACTTATCCTCCTCTCCTAATTTTTGCGTTAAAATCGCCAATAATAAACTTTTGGTCAGACCTAGATATACTTCGAAGTACTTCTTATTGCTCATAGTACAGGTCAGTTTTCCATCTTTTCCTTCCGTCGGGGCATGCCAACGATTTTCATCTTTTTTTTAATCATAAAACCCACCCCAAAGGTTCCTTTCTCTTCATACTCCCCTATACTTAAGTGCCAAAAAGGCCTTTCTGTGTTGTTTCTTGTAGCGCCGCTATATCGATGTTATAGTCCTTTAGTACTTTTGTTAGATTCCTTACTTCCACCGCTTCATATGGCCCTCCACATTCCATGTTCATTTATTGTTGAATTAAATCGTTAGGTTACTGAATATCGACGCGTAAAACATGAGATGCGTTATATTAAGAAATCTGGGATGGAAGTTTCGGCTCCCTTCAAGAAATTCTGACCATGTTTGTGACTGGAGCAAACATTGCAGTTGTCAAAAAGTTTGGATTCGCTATTTTCATGTTTAAAAACCCCAGAAACCGCCAAATTTCAACAATGGCAAAGAAGCAACAATGTACCAACAGTATAGACTTTCACTTCTGAACTGTATAAATCAATTTGCATTTGAAACATGCAGATGTTACATAGTTCCACAGTTAAGGGGTTAATAATATGCGGTTTAGACAGTTAGATAATTATGATTAGTCCCCGAGGCATTAGAAAAATATCATGATTTCGTATTCGTTTCGTATCACGAAATAAAAGACACTTCCTCATTGCCAACTTTATAGTTCTACAAGATGGTGTTTACAAAGTTACAATACAATATTGATTTATAACTTTTATGGTTTCCGGTTAATTTTTATCTTGCATACCTTGCACTTGAAGCTGATTTACTTTCAGAAACACTACTTATCACGTTAGAACGAAGATTCATCCTTCGAGAGGGCGTGTTAGAACTAGCTTTACGGATATCTATGTAGATATATCGAAACTAATGTCATCGATGCCAGTATTATAAAACCATTATACTCAACCTCAACTATGTTGTCACAGCTAACGGTGTTGTTAAGGCGCGTGATTGGATGTTTTGGCTTAACAACAACGTTAGCTGACAACATAGATAATAACGGGCCTTAGTTAGTTTTCAATGACGAAGAAAATAAAAGTGAAAATTGATTCCTCCAGCTGCCCTTAATTTAGCCATAAGGTCAGCAAAGAGTTTGTTAATATTAATGGAAAGGTGTATATTGTGCCAGATAATTTGACATAGGTTATGTGAAAACAAAAAAAATGTACGTCAAAATCAAAGAGATGCTATTCCGGAAGCAGCAAATAGATCAAAGATAACCCTAAGTTTGGCTTCCATATCACCTCACGTAGAATTACCAAGCTGGCTCTTGACAACTACCATTATGCAATGCTAATAACTTAAAGTGTACAAGCGCATTCAAACTGCCAACTTGTGGAAACGTCACTGAAGAAAAGGAAGAAGTAGCAGATTTTAATGTATACGAAACTTTTGAATGTAACGAAGGGGTTGATTTAGTTTTCATTAAATGTTAAAAGTTAAAAAAAATCCGTTCGTTTACTTCATGCATTAGTTACTAATTGTTGATTTTATGGAAAAAGTAGTTATTACAACATTGTAGCTTTCATTTAAGAAAATGATGAAGTCATTTCACAGAAAACTCCCAATTAACTTCCCCCAAGTCAATAATGATCGATTAAACTAATTACTGAATCTTAAAACACCTTTCTACAAATGACTTTATATTCCGGGCAAAAATTCGCACATATATGGTCAAGTACAAGTAAAATATATAAGGCAACTCTTACCTAGAATAAAGTTAGACGTTGACGCTAACAAGTGAGCTTCGGAATTCCCAAATTACGAATTCAATCGTCAGAAACCAAAATATGTATTCGGAAGATGGAAATTAGAATTCCATACGTTCTACCTTACGCTTAGTTGTTTTTTTAATCGACGTGTACTTCGATGCGGCTTACGAGGAAAAAGGCATGAGAATGGACACCCAAAATTTAAGACAAGGAAATGCGCTGTCATTTCTGCGCCGAAAAATGGGTGGAGCTATCTATCAAATTACTTCAAATGGTACGGGTGTTCCTCGACAAGTAGTAAATGCTTCGTAATAGAGAAAATCAATCGTTACACTCTAAAGAACAAAGTAGAACGAAATGATTAAGATTCCAATAGATTTAAAATTGGTTGCTGCTTCCCTAGGTTTTCGGAAAGCATTCACAAAATATCAAACCGAATACAAAATGCCGTACCTCGATATCTACAAAAGTAGTTGGAATACAAGGACCTTTCTTGTAGGATAAGCATCTTATAACTAAGCTATGGGATAACAATGCAGAGATTTTTCATATCAATATCTTCTGAACCTTCAACTACAATTCTTAACAATGCGTGTTGTTATTGTCAAAACATTCTCATGCATCCTCGCATTCTTTGCAAAATACATTTATGTGGGAATCCACCGTTTTATAACAATTAATGCATGTGGATAAAATGATACCACAACAATCAGTTCCGTAATTATAAATGTTTTCGTGTTAATAAATGGAGCAGCCTATGTCGCAAACACACACGCGAACAGTCGTAATTTTAATTAAATAGAAACAATTTTTCATTACATTTATCTTAATTTATTCTCGTGTTGTAATAATTCATTTACGAAATTAATGCCTTTGTTATCCCCTGATATTAAAGTAACCTGTCACTCGCCGTATTAACTTTAAACGCCTGATGTTAATGATCTTTTAAATGTAGGTAATTGATTTATCGCTAAGATACAAGGAATTTGCCCTAATTTAATTTTTTTTTCCAAAAAAAGTCAAACCCTAGATAATGGTCCTAGACCTAAAGGGCAGTTTTCACTTGTTCCAAAGCGGTCAAACTTAACGAAACGTGGATGAAATTAATCCTGATTTGTTCACATTTTGACAAAAACGATTCGAGTTCAACTTTGCATTCAAAATATTTTTGTATGAGTATAATGAACAAGTCTTTTCGAGCGGTTCAGACTCGAATTCGAATCCAAAAATTGGTACAGTACTAATTAGTTCACAGATTCGTAGCAATGAATTCTACTTTCGGCCACTATCTCCATGTACTTTCGCTGGCATGTTTGCCAAATCGTCACGAGTAATTCGTGCTGGTAGTGATGTCAGAATCAAAGGTTGTAGAATGTGGTCAGACAATAAACCGTCTAGACTCTAAAACAAACTTTCCAAGTATATTTACCATATTTTGCAAATAGTTATTCACTATAAAACCTGAGTTATATACCCAGGTTTTACGTCCAGATAAGCCGACTTTTATTTGCCTTCGTCACATTAGTTACCTGTATCTACTTTAAATATCGTGTGGTTCATTGACCTACTGCTACCACTACCGTCCACCTGCTGGAAATTTCTTAACCTGTCTCCATGGAAAAGTGGAACAGATTTCGGACGACATCACTGGCAGTGATACTGTCAGTGCCCGGCTCATGAACCACGATTGATCGTTTATTAAAAAGTATCGAGCACTTAAATTAAAATGACCAAAGGCCATTTCTATAATAATAAGCGTTGCAATTTATTGGCATCGCTTTAGACAAATTGAAACGCCCCCCTTAGCAGATGGACGCTGTATTATAATAAAAATCTTAATTAAATTTGCTAAAGTCGCAACCGTCTGGGCCAATTAATTTTGTGTTGAATCAAGATAAGTACCGGCATTGTAAAGGATTACGTCCTTTAGTTGATTTTACAATTTTGGCAATGAAACTAGTCGCTTGTGACCAACCTTTGATTTAGCAACCGCGCAATTAATTACCTCGATTAGTGCTTAAATTAATCACGAATATCAGAGAAAATTTATTATAAGAAACTCGACTTTTGGCGCGAGAAGAGCTTGTGAAAAGTAAGTGACTTGAACCTACTAATTTACTTACAAATCGCAGATTTAAAGAAAATGGCAACGATCAGTGAAAAATTAAGCGAGTCTCCTACGATTAAAAGTGACATAATTGTGACAAAACCAATTACAAGTTCCGAACTCGATTTACCGAGTTCCGAAGAGGAAGACAAGATGGAACGTGGCAGCTGGTCGAATAAACTAGATTTCCTTTTCTCCTGCATTAGCTTATCCGTGGGATTAGGAAACGTCTGGCGATTTCCGTATTTGTGCTACAAAAACGGTGGAGGTAATTATACATTTCCCTAAAATCGTAGGTACGTAGATGAGCGCTGTCTTATAACAGCTTTGTGATTAATTTGTCTAAATTAATTAGTGACGTAATCTAGCTGAAACTTTTGTAATTAAGTTACCGAGGAAAACAAATGATACACTATAAATTATGCCTTTGGGTTAATTAGAGAGTAAGTGGACTGCTCAAGCAGCTTTTCGACTATTTAGTTACCGCGTGTTCCAATAGAGTTATGTTTTACCGGAAGGATATTATTTGGACTTTAATAAATGAAAACGGTCATGAAAATATTAATTAAAAAATCATTAGATAAAAGTGTGTTCGTGAGTTGATCGTTGACAATATTATAAAAGTCCTTCAAAACGTTATGTGTGCAGTACGGAAAAGAGCTTAATTATTGGCTTTATTTCTTAAGAACGCATTCTTGCATATTTATGATCTCTTAAGCCCCAAGATATAAATTTAGTCTTCTTCTACCTAGTCCAACAGATTATTTTATAAAGCTGTGTACCTCCCCCCTCGCACTATACAGGGTAATTGAGCGCAATGATTTTGAGGGCGCATTTACCAGCCAAAAATAGGAAATTTTTTCATATATGCTTCGTTTTTTAGATACCGGTTGTGTAAGTAAAAAAAATCGGTTTTTATTCCCACCAAAGGAAGGCCCTTATGTCGACAAATAACCCTACCAAATTTTATTTAAATCGGCTGAAAGGTTTTTGAATAATTGATAAAAGAACGATTAAAAAAAATTTTTTATACCTATACACTCTGTTTAGCATGAATAAGAGGATTAAATGTTGAAATTAAGAATTGGAATTTGGCATCAACCGTATACACCACATCTTTATACATTGACTAGAAAATAAGGTCAAAACGGTCCATCGAAAGATCCAAGTCACTTCTCCCAACCTCCTCTAGGTTGACATCTGTCAAATCTTCCGCATACCAAAATGTCTAGAATTTATTGCTCTCTAAGATTTAAGATTCAAAGTTTTGATATAAGTCCTAAATTAAAAAAATAAAATCAAAATGTTTAAAAAAATTCAAAAGATAAATAACTGCTCTTTCTAATAAAGTTACGATCCAATTTAAATCAGAAGTTATAGCGAATTTACCATAATCGACCAAAGATAAAAATTACCTCAAATCAGATGGGAACGAAATGGGTTGATAGCCATTTTTTAAAAAAACCTTCCCTCCAAAATCAACCAGCAAACAAATTATCTTAATATGTTTTGACCTTTAGAATCAACAAAATCCCCAAAAACGAATTGTTTAAGACAACATCGACCTAGAAAAACTTTGTTTGTTATTATTTTTGTGATACATATTAAATATGATCGTCTAAATGTCCAATTGATGAAATGTTGCATGAATTAAATTATTATAGATGGAGTACAATTGAGACAACGAACAATTAAAGTGAATTGGATCAAATATTTTAATTTACAAAACGATTTTGTTTCAAACATAAAAATTCATTCATTTTAACTAGGGAAACTTGAAAATTCTTTAGTAAAATAATTAAATGCCATCCGGCATAGCCCTTGGCATAAACTTTACGGTGGCGTATTGAAGGTTTCTTTTTTTCTGCAAAATTGACTTCAAAACCTACTTTTACAAATGCTTACTCGCAAATTAAACCCAAAATCACTGTAAAATTTCGAATATGTTGACGTAAGAAAATCAAATAATGAAAAGTTCCAAGTTTAATTCCCTTTGTAGGTTTTCCTATTTGTGGTTTTCACTTGTAAATTCAGCCTAGATTAATTTTCGTTGTCACGGTCTTTATTGCACTTGTCTGATGCTAGAAAGAGAGCGAAGTAGTACGTTGAACGCTAATTTCAAACGCTTCGAGGATCCTTCCCCAAAAAATACATTGCCGTTTCTCTATGGTGCGTTGTAACTGGGACATACTGTATACAGTTCCCTGAGGTATAACAAAAACGACCCTAACTCTACCACCTATCCATAGACTTTTACAATTCCACCAAATATAATTTTTTGGACAATTCCACTCATAATGATGTAACCAATAGCATGCCATTATGTTGTAAATACCGACCAATTACGATCAGATTAGGTGGAAATACCATTAGTGGAATTTCCAAATCGGAAATACCAGTCGGAAGACCAAATTTCGTTCCATTTCGGTAACATTTTGATGTCCTATGAGAAGTGTCCTAAAACTTGTGTACTATGTGGTTGGTCCCGAGAAGATCTTACTCATGGTGGAGTGAAAACTTCCAAACGCGAATTGCGGGTGAACGGGACGTCAGAAGAGGGTACCGACAAAGGGTAGCTTTAGAATACTGATCTGCCACACAAAAATGCACTTCGATCTCACACGAGAACTTTGATAATAAAACTCGTAGATAGAATTCTTAAATTCTAAACTTCGTGCAAAAAAGGAAACCCAACAAAAGTGATTTCCGCTAACAGTTCGGGAATTAGTAAAATTAAAGTTTTGGATTTCAAAACAATGACAGTTATAACAATTATTAATAGTGCAGATTATTGGCCATTTTATGTGAAATTGGTGACCTTTAATAGAGACCGCACAGACCTTTTATCCCGTATTTGTTTAAATTGTTATGCCGAATACAGTTCGTGAGTTTGAAATTTCTAGAAATTTTCTAGTTTTCGATCATTCGTGTTTGTTGGGGATCATAAATGATTTTGATCCCAACAAGCACTCATGTCTTAGAGCTCGAAAATTTTCAGAAATTGCAAATCCACTCGTCTATATATATACAAATTCGACCCTCTAATTTTTACACCCTGCAGACTTTCTACGATATGTAATGCCTAAACTGTTCGAACCTTTACAAAAATCCCAACTTTAAAAATAAATCCAAAACTGGAGCTACCGTTACAAGGCGTTTGAAAACATTCTGATTTGTTGTATCTTCTATTTATAACAAGGGAAAACATATATTTTTTCAATTTTAAAACAATACTAGTGCCAGTTGTATATTGAAACCATATGGTGCTACCACGTTTAATGAATTAAAATAACGTTATGACATTGATGTCAAAGATAAATGAGAACCCTGCCTTAAACTTCCAGAACATTCGCATTAGCAGAAAGAAAGTTATTTGATTCCAATATCAAATAACAGAATCGGCAGTACAGTAAAATCACAGTTTGTCTCTGTAAAAAAGATACAACACCGCTCCACTTCCAAAGGTCTTTGGATTTCCTGTTTTATTAGAAATGCCTCCACCAATATTTGATCTGAAAATGAGATACTGCCACCAGGTATTCTTTGGGTCATTTCCATCTTTTGATAGGATTTGAAAGGATTATAAGTTCAGGAACACATCCCATTTAAGACTTTATTCAAAACGTGGTGTACGTGTCGTTATAAAGCACCCCAGGTACGACCATGAAATTAATAAAGATGGCTAGGGGCACCTTAAGCGTTTTCAACACAAAAAAACTTGCGGAGAAAGCCCGAAATGTTGCCCAATGTTAATTAAAAGTTTACTTAATTCCGTCGAAATCTGAGATTATGTTATTTATATTTCGTCATTCTTAAGTTGGTGAAACTGAAAAGTGGTTTAGTCCCAATTATACACAAAATAAGCGACACGTCAATGTCACACGTGGATACACTTTAATAAAACCACTTTTGGAAGCGCATACAATCTAAACTTAATGCCTTAGGAAAGAAAAATCTAGAGAGGGCTCCAATTTGCATCGGGCAAGGATCGCCTTTTCCGTATCGACCATCGAGAGAGGAAACCCTTCTTCCATAGATCGCCTGTTTGTTAGCAATCGCCGATTAACTTCAACCGCCTTGTCACTCGAAAGGGGAATGAAGTGAAACATGTCGAGAACTTTTACTGCTATTATGGTACAATTATAAACACATGTATAAGATTATAAATAACTCTTTAACGTTTATTAAATCGTGCAAAAATCACATAATGTCTTAAGAAATTGAGGTTGGAAAGTTGCTCACACTCTTACCAATTTAAAACTAGTCATGAAATGTAAGTAAGATAACCTCACATTTCCAAGAAATGAGGTGAACTTTGTATTAAGATTGTGCAGAATTTAGGGCTCCTCCCGCAAAACTTTTTTGTTGAAAACGATTAATTAAGATGCCCTCTAGCAATTTTTATCAATTTCATGATCGTACTTGGGGGGCCGAATAATGTAAAGTCCAATAGAAAAAAACTGTTAAAGAATGTAATGAAGATGCAGATTACTCTCCTCAAGCTGTAATTGTTGAAATCTCAAAGTGTTTGTGATGAGGCTCACGGGCAAATTACTCCAAGTCAAATACATTTATCCCCCCCGAACAATGTGATCCTATGCACCCCTTGAAAATTAAGAAAAATATCTTAAAACTTAAAAAAACCTAGAATTTTTGTATGAGTTTGCTTTAGAGAAGAATCCACCTACACATATCTACAAACTGTAGCAAATCCCATAGGGTTTTTTTTTTATCCTAGGTTTTTGTCGGGGGGGTTATTGTCTCCCGGGAGTTAATGGAACGGAATTTTGTCTGGGGGGATTTTGATCGGGAGTTGTCCTGTACCAGTTTATAATAATATACAGGGGCGGACTGGGTACTTACGGGCCAGGTGGAATTGCATAGGTTACGGGCCATTAAAGTATTAGTGTAGTAATGAAGGTGGCGGGGGGTAGCTCTGCGGTGCACCATAAAACATTTTTTGCTTCATTTTAAAGTACTCCTTTTTCGGAAATCAATTACAACACAGATTTTTTTTAAATTGCAGCTGATAATTAAAAGTAACAAAATATACAATCCAAACGAGGCGCGTCGCCTATCATTGTATTTCATCACTTTCATGCTACGACAAAAAATGATAAATTCATTGTAAAACATTTCAATTAAAACAGAATTTTTTAATTTTTTAACAACCTAACATCAACCCCAATTAGAGAAACGTGTAATAATTTATTAATAGTGCAAGAAACTAAATACAGCACATACTTATAAATTTCCAACGGGCCATTATGACGTACAGGCCAGGTGGCAATCGCCACCCGCCTCCCCGGGCCAGTCCGCCCCTCTTTCTAGTTCATAACTTTTGATTGAGACGTCTGATCGAAAAAGTACGAATTGTTTTCGATTCTACGCACCAAAATTAATAAGAAAAAGTGTTTTCCCGAGCAATTTTGGTGCAGTCGATTTTTGGTAAAAAAGGAAGGTTACACACTGCCTTTTTTGAGCCCCGAAAAAAAAATTGTCTCAGATCGACCCGGAAAAAAATTTTCTTATAGAATGTGGCCTGTAGAATCCATAATTTCAAACAGTTCCAAAATTGGGCTTCTAGTTCAAAAGTTACAGCCCTTTGAATTTTCTTTCGAAATTGGTTTCTAGTCCATAACTTTTGATTGAGAACTTTGATCGAAAAAGTACGAATTGTTTTGAATTCTACGCACCAAAATTAATAAAAAAATTGTTTTCCCGAGAAATTTTGGTGCAGTCGATTTTTGGTGAAAAAGGAAGGTACACTGCTTTTTTTGAGCCCGAAAAAAATTGTCTCAGATCGACCCGGAAAAAAATTTTAGGGTAGCTCTGCGGTGCACCACAAAAACATTTTTTGCTTCATTTTAAAGTACTCCTTTTTCGGAAATCAATTACAATACAGGTTTTTTTTAAATTGCAGCTGATAATTAAAAGTAACAAAATATACAATCCAAACGAGGCGGGTCGCCTATCATTGTATTTCAGCACTTTCATGCTATGACAAAAAATGATAAATTCATTGTAAAACACTTCAATTAAAACAGAACTTTTAAATTTTTTAACAACCCAACATCAACCCGATTTAGAGAAACGTGTTAATAATTTATTAATAGTGCAAGAAACTAAATACAGCACATACTTATAAATTTCCACCGGGCCATTATGACGTACAGGCCAGGTGGCAATCGCCCCCCCCCCCCCCGGGCCAGTCCGCCCCTGATAATATAGTGTATTTACTATCAATAAAATGCGAACGAAATTCAAAGTAAAAATCGGTTCCTTAAGGCTGCTTTACACGATGCTAGTAATTCGTAGTAGTTGCTCAAATCGAGTACTACTCGTTTCGTGTAAATTGTCATTATAGTACTCGAGTAGAGTGCCAATACGAGTCAAGTAATAGAAAGCAATCGTATTTGCTGGCGCAAGTACTCGGTTCTAGTGACTTGCACCATGAGCTTTTAGTGGCTTTTATTGAGAATTAAATTTGTACAGTTACTGTCAGAATTAATTCACTCCTACGTGAGTCAGTTGCGTTCTTCACTGCACTGAGAAAGCAACTGAAGATCATGTGGGTGGACTTGTCACCCTATAGGCACTTCTGATGTCTTTGTTTCCAGGGGCGTTCCTCGTCACTTATCTCATTGCGATGATATTCTGCGGTATACCGATATTCTTTCAAGAGGTATCCATAGGGCAGTACCTCGGCTCTGGAGGCATGACATTCGTCGGACAGCTATGCCCGTTACTTAAAGGTGTCGGTTACTCGACGATGACGATCGTTTTCCTTCTGGACGTTTATTACTGCATAATAATAGCGTGGACGCTTTTGTATTTTATAAGCACGTTTCTGAAGCTTCCCGATTTACCATGGTCCACGTGTGGTAAGTACAGGACACTATGGACAGATTGCGTAAGGAAGTGTTAAAGTTACAGAAGACTGTTACAATATAAGCCGAGGTGCTCATCAGGCTGTAAATGGATCGGAATTACTGCGGTCTCCTGTTGAAGAATTTTTTGAGTGAGTTCATTCGTTGCAGGTTTGTTTATTACGTAATTTAGAAACATTGGAAGGAGTTGATTTTTTTATGACGGTGATGATTGAGCGCCAAAATCATGCTGCTTTTGTATTTGATAAATCGGTGGGTAATTTACCCAGTAAATGAGCTAAGTGAAATTATAACTACGGTGCAACCATGAATGAAATGATGATGGATGAGCTATTTACGATTTCTGTACCTATCTGTAATTATGTTTCCAGCGTAATATTAATTCATAATAACTATAACAGATAAACTTGCACGCAATCACGAAAGGTAGTTTTCTGTAGTGCGAATCACCTACCCCTTTGAAATGCAAGGGTGACGGGAATAAATTAATTGTGTCACAAACGCCATTAGTAGGTGTAGAAGTTCATAATTTATTCACGTGTGTGCATAATTGGAATTGTCAATTTGTTAAATTAAGAGATGCCCTTGACAGATAATCCTTTTACGTGTTCCTTTCATTTCGACAAATAATTCTTTGATGATTTGGCACATTTTTTTTCTTTTATATGCGTAGGCGGTTCATTCAATAAATATCGGCAACAAAAAATAAAAAAGGTGCCAATTTCTAGCCGTCCAAAAAACGCCACATCAAAACGTAGGGTAAACAATCAAATTAATTTAGAGGAAGACATAAGAAAGGAGCTGTAAGGGAAGTGTTGCTCGTCGATGCCGTTATAAGAAATACAACCCTCGTCAAAAGGAAAATATGTGGAAATATATTACGTTTTATTTTCAGAAAAGAAATATTGCATATCTCGACCGGTATCGAAGACATCGGCGGGATACAGTGGAAACTCTTCGGATGCCTTGTACTCGGCTGGTTTATAATATATCTAATAATCCGTAAGGGTTTACATCAAAGCGGGAAGGTACTTTTTAATTATATAACGTTACGCATTCCTTCCTAATTTAAAATTCATGCGGTTCTCTTTTATCTCTTGCATTGCGAGGCTCGAGATACGAATCTCGCGTTTGAGGAAAGGACTTGTCATAAGGTGAATTTCCTTTTTAGATCATTTGGTTTACGGCACTTTGCCCATATGTAATCTTGATGACTTTATTAGTTCGTGCGGTAACACTAGATGGGGCTGCGGATGGATTGCTTTACTACATCACCCCTCGATGGAGCGAGCTTCTTGCACCAGCCCCTTGGATGGAGGGTGCGACGCAAATTTTTTTCGCGTACAGCATCGGCTGCGGCGCACTGCCTGCCCTAGGCTCGTACAACAAGTTCAACCACAACTGTTACAAGTAAGGGTGGCACCCGGAAACCTAATTCCTCCAACATTCCCCTAGGGACGCCGTGATCACCTGCATTGTAAACACGCTCACGTCAATACTGGCCGGATGCGTCACATTCTCGGTATTGGGACACATGGCCTTAGAAAAAGGTAGCGACATTAGTAACGTTGTCCAAAGCGGACCAGGTCTCGTTTTTATAACGTATCCTGAAATCGTACTCAAATTACCAGGCGCTCCGTTTTGGGCGGCCGCCTTTTTCTTCATGCTGTTGGTAAGTCGCACGGACTTAAAGACGTAGTAAATCAGACGTTTTGCAGCTTTTAGGCGTCGACAGCGCGTTTTGCCTGGTGGAATCTTTCGTAACTGGAGTCGTCGATAACTGGCCCAAAATTTTACGCCCTCACAGAGGAAAATTGACGATTTGTATTTGTTTTGTGATGTTTTTGTTGGGAATTCCAATGGTCACTCACGTAAGTAGACGGTTTTAATAGTAAGTACCTTACAGGTTAACACTAGAAGACCCAAACTTTGTTCCTACCCTACGGGCTCCACGACGCGATGGGTCAATTGACCCCATATGTATTTTAACTTAAAATGTTGTGTTTCCGATCGTGTTTTTAGATGGTTTACTACATTATGTTGAAGTTCGTTAATTACCGTTACTACTTATACATTTCTTAAAATTTGTTATTTATCATATACAGTGTGTTCGAAATAAGAGGATCACCTCAATATTCTTTTAATTGGCGAGATACGAAAAATTTGACAAATATAATTTTGTATGCGACATTACGATCACATATTTATACTTCTGGCACCACTTCCGGCCAATGGGGGAAACTTTTGTTTTTCAAATGCAATCCCTATGTTTTTTTAAGATTTCTGAAAAGAACTGTACGACAAAGTGAATTATACATATGGTTGACATACAAAAACTGGAAAAATTCAGTATTTAGAAAACACCTAGTATGCCGTGTGCTGTCAGGGTGTGCGGTGTCTGTTGTGTTACATGGGGAGATCGTATCGCGAGGTAAATCTTTAAAATGCAGCATTGAACAAATTGATGTAAGTCTTTTCTGTGTAACACAACAGACACCACGCATCGTGACAGCACACTGCATGCTAGATTTCATAAGTTTTCCAAATATTGAATCAGGAATTTCTTCATTTTTTGGGCATATCAACCATATGCGTTTTTGATGGTGTTATGTATTGCAGATTGATTGTTCATTAAAAAAAATAGGCATTGTATTTAACCATTTTTTCGAATATCGCCAAATAAAAGAGATATTGTGGTGACTCTTATCTCGAACATACTGTATATGAAAAATCCTATGTATAAAACGAATTTAAAACAATGTGTATGGAAATTAGACGAAACGATAACCGATGCGTTAGCAATGAGACAAAAGTAAGTTATAGCAAATGTTATCTAATATAGTACAAAACTCAACGAAAAACATGGGGGTCTATTGACCTTAGTCAAGTACCACAGGTAAAAGTTAAAAATTTTCTAATTTATAATGAAACTTTGTCATTTAATTAATCTAGTTCCCAAATAAGAAAAAGTCAAAAAATCAAAATCCTGTTTCGAAAAATAATGATGATATATATATAAATTTAAATCTACCTGTAAAATGGGGTCAATCGACCCCCCCCTGGGGCTTCTAAATGGCTTAAACAACAGTGAATGCTTCCAGACCATAAACTTATAGTTTTAGATAACACTATATCAGTATAAAAACTGTAAACATTAAAAAAAAGTTACCCAATGTTGATAAGATAATGCAAATTGCAATTATTTATTTATCAGTTTAATACGAAATAATTTGCGATAGTAGTTTCAACTACTACAAATTGACGGAAAAAATACATACTGCAAATATTGGACGAAATTAACTGATTTTTTGTTGGCTACTGGTTATTTGATACAAAACTAATGCGCCAAATTGTGTAGTTTGCATAGCAAATTGAAACATGCCAGTGGAAAGAAAGTGAAGGCTTTACGATGATTCAATCGTATTAACCGAGCTGATAGATTTTTCTGTTGTTTCCGGAGGAATTTGTACGAACCCTGTAAATGCGCCAAAGTCCAATAAACCACCTCTCACTCTCGACCTTGGATTAACTTTCACTAGCCTCGGTGGCGCAGTAGGTAGCGCGTAAGTCTCATAATCTTAAGGTCGTGAGTTCGATCCTCACCCGGGGCAGTTTTTTGAATATCATTCACATTTTCCACACATTTTCAAAAAAAGTTCCTCGTCGGTCTTGAGAGTTTTCATCGGCCTCGGTGGCGCAGTAGGTAGCGCGTAAGTCTCATAATCTTAAGGTCGTGAGTTCGATCCTCACCCGGGGCAGTTTTTTGAATGTCATTCACATTTTCCACACATTTTCAAAAAAAGTTCCTTGCCGATCTTGAGAGCTTCTATCCGCCTCGGTGGCGCAGTAGGTAGCGCGTAAGTCTCATAATCTTAAGGTCGTGAGTTCGATCCTCACCCGGGGCAGTTTTTTGAATGTCATTCACATTTCCACACATTTTCAAAAAAAGTTCCTCGTCGCTGTTGAGAGCTTCTATCCGCCTCGGTGGCGCAGTAGGTAGCGCGTAAGTCTCATAATCTTAAGGTCGTGAGTTCGATCCTCACCCGGGGCAGTTTTTTGAATGTCATTCACATTTCCACACATCACATTTTCAAAAAAAGTTCCTCGCCGATCTTGAGAACTTCTATCCGCCTCGGTGGCGCAGTAGGTAGCGCGTAAGTCTCATAATCTTAAGGTCGTGAGTTCGATCCTCACCCGGGGCAGTTTTTTGAATGTCATTCACATTTCCACACATTTTCAAAAAAAGTTCCTCGCCGATCTTGAGAACTTCTATCCGCCTCGGTGGCGCAGTAGGTAGCGCGTAAGTCTCATAATCTTAAGGTCGTGAGTTCGATCCTCACCCGGGGCAGTTTTTTGAATGTCATTCACATTTTCCACACATTTTCAAAAAAAGTTCCTCGTCCACCTTGAGAGCTTCTATCCGCCTCGGTGGCGCAGTAGGTAGCGCGTAAGTCTCATAATCTTAAGGTCGTGAGTTCGATCCTCACCCGGGGCAGTTTTTTGAATCGCTTTCAAAATTGATACTTTCAAAAAAGTTCCTTTTCACAGTTGAAAACGTCCTAGTTTTGAATTTTTCACTTTTCTTTAAATAAAACATATTACAGGGCGACCATTTAAAGTGTCAGTTTCGTTGCTATAAGCGATTTCAGAAAATCATAACCTTTTCGGTGGCGTGGAAAGATACAGGGTGTCTCATTAAAGATATTGAAAACGTATTTTGTTTTTGAATTGAATTGAATCAGTTAGTACATGTTTAGTCGGTACGGATAATATACCGAAACTGTGTTTGTGTTCATAGGGTAGATTTAAACGCGGCATGTTCCAGGTAAATCGTATCTTTCACTATTTATATTCAATACGGACAGCTTTATTTTAGGGATTTTGACGTGTTGCAATTTTGACGTTGAGACAGTAATTAGAAATATCCTTAAAGACTCGGTTAAATTTTTATATTTGTCGGATTTGTTGTCAAAGAAGTGGCGTATATTCGTGCACAAATTCCGTTAGAAGGTATAAAAGTTGTTTTCCATTTAAAATACCTAAGTGCCGAAAAATCGCCCTAATTAAGGTAGCCCCCTGAATCGGCACCCCAATTTGTGTTTAGCGTTTCTAAAACCGTAGAAGTTTTCTGTTAAAAAAACGCCCTTTAGGTAAATTAAATTATGAAAGAATTAGTTACATCAAGAACGAAAATGAATGTGTGGTGAATAATAATAGATTCATTTGAAAACACCGTATACAGAATAGGGTTAGAATTGAAAATATTGGAAGATTTCCAAATAAAATCCACAGTTTCCTAGATGGTTTCTTAATTTAATAAACCCATCCAACGGAATGTCGCAGGATTATACCATTACATTTTTAACTACCTTGCAACTTTGATCCATTATTTAATTCATGTCTTGAGAGTTGAGCATTGGTCTTTTTTCCAACGATCTCGGCGCAAGAACAACGATTTTGGCATGTTTTGATCCAAATGAATACAGTGCGTTCGAAATAAGAGGGTCGCCTTAATATCTCCTTTTTTTGCGAACTACGAAAAATTTGTCAAATATAATTTTATATACGACAACTTCCGGTATCGCTTTCGGTTTAACCGGAAATCTATCTCACATTTTTGAATAGCACGTTTTTTCTGATTATGAAGATATATTTTGGAAATGTTAGGTCACACTTGAAACTTTTCATCGAAAATGCTTGATGAGCCTATGCGCTAAGTATTGTAACTTGAAAGCCGCGAGATCGTTTTCACCAGGGTTTTCACCCTTTCATTATCACCGGAAGACGTTCTCTTGCGAACATATTGCCAACAGAAAATTTCCCAACCCCCAACGGAGTTGGAGTTCATTCATGACGCAATTTAACACTCCTATTTCCCCACATTTAATTCGAAGCGAAAACTAGGCAATTACATATACGAGATTGGAATCCTCAATCGTTGGTGCGAATCGTATATTGTTAATCAAAGAACTAATTAGTAACATTGTTACAGGGAGGAGTGTATATTTTCCAATTAATGGATTACTATTCAGCGAGTGGGATGTCTTTGTTATGGGTATGCTTCTTTCAAACAATCGCAATCTCTTGGGTATTCGGAACGGAGAAGCTCTGCGACTGCATTAAGGAAATGATCGGGATGACGACGAACCGATTTTTAGTAATATGCTGGAAATTTTGCGGTCCCTTAGTTATACTGGTGAGTTAAAACAGATGAATCGACTACATAACGACGCTTTGAACTTTACAGATAATTTTCTTGGCGCACTGTATTAATTATGAAAGTTTAACGTATGGTAAATACTACACTTATCCGACTTGGGCGGAGTATGTTGGTTTTCTTATTAGCTTTTCGTCGATGGTATGGGTACCGGCTTACGCTATTTATTACGTTTTAACCGGAAAAGGTAGCGTCTTAGAGGTAATAGCAAAGTGCTACCGTTCAGTTTCATTATAATTGAGTTGGGTCTTATTGCAGAATTTGCGATTGGGGTTGAAACCGAAATTTATACGCCGCATGCCTAGCAAAACCGATGATAACTTCGCATCTATAGAGCAATTCATCTAATTAGGTCATTTAGATTAAAACAAATTACTTAGATATGTATGAAACTAATCGATATTAGCGCCATTTTATACAATTTGAGAAAAAAGAATACATTTTTTAATTAATTATTATTTTAGAATCTCACACGATTTTGCGGGAAAAAACCGCGAAACGTAATGATGTGTTTTATTACCCACACATTTTTAGTGTCATATTTTTAATTTGTATGCAGAACTTGCGCATTCGTACTTAAAAGGAAATCCATATGTCATATGAACCTCCAGTAATAGAGAGAGGCCCCCAGATACCAATCTCCAATACCTACTTCATTAAGACATATGTAATGAAACTTACGGTGCCCACATACTATTATAGAAGGAAGTATGTTTGAGAATTACAATGTAATAGTTGTTCCTAATGGAGGTGGGAAGAAAATATCCCCAATGGGGAGTGAAAAAATTACTACAATTATTAAATATTGCACGATTTGTGCAGTTATTACCGTCTCTACTACCTCAAATTTCACTTATAACGCTAAGGATTCTTACCTTAACAAACTGCGAAAATCACTGCTCACTTTTCCAATGCCACTAATCAAGCGCCTGGTACTGGGTCCCACATAATCCAGATAATTGTTGTTGCGTATTTCTTTGGGTTTGTAGATTGGGAGACGGACTCTTTTCGAACGCTGAAAAAAGATACGACATGAATGTATAAAAATACTGGGTGTCGTGATACATGGTATATAACAAAAACAGCCAAGTTTTTTGATATAGAATAGTTTATTATTATTAGTATTTGGAACGAATAGAGTTTCCGTACGAAAACAGTTTGCAGACGAAAAGTATTATCTTCAACAAATGGGCCAATGAGCATCTAAAATTTCATGTAGGGTTGCTGTCCATTATTTTGTAATGCTTAGAAAAAATCGAAATAATATATCTACGCTACTGGGAGTTTAGGCTTTTTAAGGTGGTAGGCCAAATGTAAAGACCGCGTTTTAAATAAAATTTCTCTATTTAGGTTGGCATTGCATCAGAATACTAAAAATATTAATGTGATATTCACTTATAATTGTACAAGAGGTTTGTGTTTTATCGAGTAAATTTGGGTTGTTTAGGTAATGCAAATCTGTTGCCTAGCAATCAGACGAGAAAAACTGGCAACACCTAAAGTGGAGTATTTTTAGGTTGACAGTTTTTCGAGTCCATTGCTAAAAGGAAACAGAATACATGGATTTTTTAGAGTTTAATCCTTGGCAATGGAATATGTGTGAACTACTCAAAATAATTCAAATTGGACAATAGAAAGCCTTTAGAACGATACGCTCTCTGAGTATTGTAAACTGGTACTATTTTGACAGTTTGTGCTTCACGTCATTTTTGATAACCACCACCACCACCACTTTGCTTCTTGTGTTCCTGTTTCTGTTTTGTTTTGCGTTCCCCGTCACCAGTTTTATACAAACTCATTGTTTTCAAGAGCTTGGATTTACGACGTTACTAAGTATGTAATATACATAAAGTGTTTTTTGATTGTTGAATTCTATAGAAGTAATTCATGTAACAATTGATTCAGAAGCCCTAAATCATGAGTTTAGAGAGAGTTGTTCATTTTGAAGCTCGCATTCAACAAAAAGAACCTTGTCATTGAATTTTCCGTACGAAACCTAGTTAGCTTCCGCTTGCTTCGGCTGCATTTGGCATGTGAATTGGATATACAGAGTGGCCCAACGAGAAGTATACAGAGGGCTTTTAGGGTATTAAATTTAGAAATTTCGAAAAATCCTCGAACACGTCAATTTTGTATTCGAGGGGGACAACTTTTGGGATACAAATCACGAACCCAAGTCTTCACCCCTCTGCGTAGGGAGCTTTTTTTTTTAGAAAAAAACCATTTAATAGAATCAAATAAATCGATAAAATTTACCAAACAAATCGTTGCCTTTGAAACGAAATTCCTGGCTCCTTTTTGCCACTACGGCTTTTACATTTATAAGCTGAACAAATAACCACTTTAATAAACTTATAAACACTGTCTATAATTAATAAATTTCAATATTTAAGGCAAAAATAAACGTTGATGGTGACACTACGACTTTTGGCACCAAAATAATGACCGTCAACTATTTTAATTCACAAAATTCATACGTTGTCGTATATACACGTTATCAATCCTCTCTCTCTCTCTCTCTCATTGTCTATGTGGGAACGGATAATGCGATAATTGGTTAGAAAATGAATAAGTGAAAAAAAACCGCTAAAGGGTAGTTTATACGGGAAATTAAATTGCGGTAGTACTTCTGAGAGTAACTTGCGCCAGCGTTTACAAATAAGCCAGTTGTAAATAGTATAATAGTAAATTAATACAACAAAGTCAGGAAAAAGATACATTACTGGCGAGGAAATATTAAAATGCGAGTCCCCTTTGGGGCCGAGTACTTTAATTTCCGGCTCAGGTAATACCATTTTACTGACAAGTTTTGTATTCAATTTTACCCGAAATCGTATTTTAATATAAAATTTCAATGTTTATATAAAACTTTTGATTAATGTCAATCTGTCAGTGATGACAGGAGTCATTACACACATTTGGAAATGTCACAAATGCGGCCGGTAAAGTGACGGTGCGGCCAGTAAAGTGACAAGCGGAAAGAAACGTAGTCTGCACTGCCTCTGTCATGGAAACTCAAATTTCCTGACAGAAATTACGCATGACTATTTTTGGTAAAAGCAATTTCTCTCATCAAGTACTCTCAGAAACTTGGTTTCAGCAAGTGTTTGAATGCGCGTATACACAGTAGAATTTTGATTTGATTTGCCACAACTCCGGAAATTCTTCAAAAGTGTTAATTAAAGAAGACGTGTCTTCTTTTGATCACACACGTTTTCCCTCCATGTAATATAGCACTACACACCAACTTTCAACAAGATTGAAATAAATGTCAATCTTCTGTCAAAACTTGTTTAGACGTGCAAGATTTTATAGCAGCAATTACTTGCCGGCAAGTTTTCGACTTGCTGGGAGAGAGCTCTCTATCGCTGTTTACATTATGAGTGCTCTCTGACAAAAATTGAGAGTTTACTATTCCGTGTAAATTACGCTTAATAGTGCATTTGTCGCTGGAAAAGTTGCAGGTAACTTTTGCCGCTGTCAAGGTGACAATTCCACTGCGGTTTATGGGATTATTTATACATGAGTTAAATTGTTGATATAATCGATTACAATAACTCACAATGTTTTAACTTGATCCGAAACTAGTGATCACAAATTTAATTAGAACAGTTTTCTGACGGACGGACAGACGGACGGACGGACGGAAGGACAGACAAAGTGGCCACAATAACGCGTTTTTTTTATTTTTGTGGAAATGCGCTAAAAAGCTAAAAAGGCGAAGATTATAACATTCAATCCATGCGGCCGACAGGTGTTAATTCTTTTAAATTTTAATAATAATAATAATAATAATAATAATACTTCTTTATTTCTTACTATATACATTTCTTAGTATGAAGTCTTTTCAATGCATAAGAAGAAATACGTCCTAATGTATTACATTTACCTACTATTCTAAAAATTCGTTAATGGAATAGGGTTCCATGTTTATTAAAAATTGTTTTAGTCTTCTTTTAAATTCGTTAATATCCCTAATCAGTTTAATACTTTCTGGGAGATGGTTAAAGAATTTCATTGAATTGTAGTAGGTGCCCCTTCTAAACAATGACAAGTGGTATTCAGGTATTCCACTACACTAGAATTCCAATACACTAGAAAGTACAGTGTACCAACTACAGTGACGGTGAAAATCCCTAAGTGGTATAATATATAGGGTGTTTCTTAAAAAGAGACTAACAATTAAATTATATACGGAATGTAAACATAAATTTTGAAATTTCTAAATGGCACATTAAAACTGCATTACTTGTTAAATTTGGAGCAAAACATTACTGGTTTGGCAGTCAAAGGCTTGCCAGGCCTAAAGTGATATTGAAAATATAAAAAATACGGAACATTCGGAATATTGAAATTTTAATGAAAGATTAATTGAAAATTTAGAATGATTTTTCCCTAACCCAGAAAGGAGAGTGTGACGGGAGGAGATATGACTAAGTTAAGTAGGATGTTGTTTGAAAACTGCATTTGACTTTCTTTTTCTTTTTGGTTCAGGGTTGTAATAGTAGAAATGTGTAGGTTGTGCTAAGGGCATTGGATGTCTGTTTTTTCGTTGACACAAGTCTCCATGTTGTTCTGCATGTGACACATTTCTAAGAATCTCCTTTTGTAGGTGTTAGTTTCTTCTTCTAAGATGGTAAATTTATGGAAGTTGAAAATGTGGTCTGTGAGATGTTGATTTATTCGACCGCGAACCGAAACGAACTGAATGCCACAGCGTTAAGTAACCATTCACAACTCACAGGTCACATTTTCAACTTCCACAAATTTACAATCATAGAAAACGAAACACCTACAAAAGGAGATTCTTAGAAATTGTGGTTTATCCAATTAATTTTAACTTCTGGACGTGTTTAATATAACATTTTGTAAGTGTTTACGCTTGAAAAATTTGTTAAATTAATCGTTAATTACTTAGTGGGTCCACTAAAGAAGGACAGCGATAAGCGTCAGAAATATCTGGTGTGCCAAATAAAGCTACTGAACCAAGTTTTCTTTCTTTGGCCTACACATCCTACAAACTGTCAGCTGTAAGAAAAAAAGCGACTCGAGAGTTTTTCTTTCCAGTGGTACCAACTGAAGTGGCATTAAAACATATTAACCCAATAATATTTTCGATCGAAGTCCGGAAGATCATTTTTGTAATAACCTCCTATCGTGTTCCGGGAATTTTCTACAATGTAAATGGAGTATAGCCCACTTCATGATTCTGCAGAAAGATATTAATGCGAGATATCAAAATATTTGCATTTCTCTGGATTTTGAGACACAACACTTGATCAGTTTGAACGTAAACAGCAACACAAAAATTGTAAGACAGCTTTTGTCAGTTTTGACTACAAGAATACAAGCACCTTTTTGATGCTTTATATTTTAATTTGAAAGAGAATGTGTTAAATATACCGAATAAAATACGATGCACTTATGCAATGTGTA